ACCTGGAATGTTGACTTTTGCTCTTTCCAGTATCAGGAAGATTCCAGCTACACAGATCACATTACATCAAAACTGCAGCAGCAGATCAGGAAATAAAGATGATCTGCCTACTTTTGACTATGACTGTAGAGATGATTGATGGAAAAAAAAATTAATAATGTTTTTGTTCATTTAGCAAGTCATAGAGAAAAACCATGTTGATTTTTCTGTGATATTTTTTACCATGATATTCATAAATTCATAAATGTCAGATATTTAAACGATTTTTCTCTAACTGAATATTTATTTTCAAAACTAAAGATTTGTTTTTGTAAGTATTTTTTTTTTTATCTCAAAACTACATATTTTATATATTTTCATTCTAGTGTTCAGTCAGACGCTCCATCATGTTGTCATGTTTCAGTTTTTCTCCATTCAGCAACAGTTGGTGAACTGGGTTTAATCCAGTTTAGTCTAATTGTCTTTCTTGCTACCAGCAGCAGAAGGTGCAACAATATGTAACATTGATGTTTAATGAGTAAATCCTTGGTGTTTATGTCCAGCAGAAACAGAAGAGGCTCCATGGGGAGATCTGTCCTCAGAATGTCCTCAGTCTCCTGTTTCATTTCCTCCAGAAAGTCTTTATTTGTGGTCAGAACCAGAAGACGTGTGTGATGACCGACCATTCAACACATTCCTCCAACATCCATCTGTGGTTGGAATCCTGGAAATGAACGTTTTGAAAGGAGTAACACTTTATTTGACACAGTGTGTTCTATTAAATCTGGATTTTACTTTCCAGTCAAACTCTTTGCACATTTGATTTCCAATCCTTTTATGTACAAAAATGCAAATTAGAAAACTCCACTCTTGTTTTATCAATCTCCAGTTCAATCCAGTAAATTTATGTTCTCAATTTGACAATCCACAAATGGAGACCCCAAACTGGACCATATTAGTTTTGACCTCATTCCTCTTCAGAGATACCACTGCAAACTCGTATCAATGGCTCCTCAGAATGACCAGTGGGACGCTCTGCTGGATGGAGACTGAACTACAACACTAAAAGAAGTTTTAAACTCACTTTTCAGTTAGCTAATTGAACAAATTTTATTCTGTAAGATAATAAATTGCATGGTTACACAAAACCAATAAAAAGGTAACTATTGCCACATTATGGAGTAATCAATCATGGTGAATATCTGCCACAAAAATTCATTCTTGAAAAAGATGGCTTCCCAGAAGACAGTATTACATTTTAATAAAAAGTGGAGTGGAAAGAAAAACTGTGAAATAAAAGATGCACATATGAAATTCACCATTTCTGGAACAAATGATATTCCAACATATGTGAAGTAGATTTTTTTTTAAAGAGAAAATGTTTTTTTTGCATCATACAGTGTTCTTTTATGTATATAAATGTAATTGTATCATAGTCAAGATGTTTTTCGGTGCAGCTGCAGAGGGTGTACAAACTAACTGAACAAGATGCGTCTGCTGAAGTTTCCCAGGCGGGTCGTCTGGGAACTTAATCTTCTCCTCTGTTAGCTGAGAGTGAATAAAGCAACTATGTAACTCTGAGTTCGTTAGAGCAGATTTAGATTTTCGCCTAATGCAGAGTATATTTTTCCCTGTCTGCAGATATTAAAGATTGTTTTTGCTCCCTGAACTTGGACTAGAATTGTGCACTTCACACATATTCAGATGAACGTTTATGGTTAGTTCACAATGGAAAAAATCTGAGTTGATTTCATCTGAACATTAATTCAATCTGGAGAGACTTAGACAGAGAAAATGGAAACCATTAGAAGAGTTTATTGACATACAAAATTTAAGTCTTTGGCGCTTGGGCCCCGGCTGAGGACATCGATCATCACAATCTTTGCGATGAGCTGGATGAGCATTCCATATGCTGAAAGGAACGTCATCCCCGAGACAGACATTGGTGATGGAGGTGAAGGAAGGATGCAGCCGGAGAGCGAGCGAGTGGAGGTGAAGGGGTGGAGGAGGTTGAGCTCTGCTGGAAGCAGAAGACGCCATGGACGGTGCTATTTATCAGCTGGGACTTGGACAGTGATTGGACGTGACGCGTCTTGGACCAGCGTTGATTAATCAATGGTGATGAACAGGAAGCAACGGTGGATGATGCAGGTGGGGTTAGAAGAGACTTCCAGTTTGAATTTTGCTTTTTCCTCACAAAGTGCAATAAGATCTATTATAAATTTGCCCAGTATAAATACACTGATTTCACTGTAAAAATTACTATTTTAGTCTGTAGTATAAGAAATAAAAACATTTCCATAAAGTCTTAAATACTTTATACAAAATATTGAGTGGAAATCATACACAGTGAGACAGTTTAAAGAGACGTGACAGTCCAATGAAAACTCCAGATAAATGCAGTGATTTTATGGTCAAAGTTACAAAAATGTGCAATAATTAAAAAAAACCTAAAGTGAAAACTTAACTTGGCACAAGGAAATATTTGCTCCCATCAACAGAAACATTGAATTACTGAGGGAAGGTAAGAGGCTGGATCTGTAGTTTAATTTCATCCATTAAAAAGCTGCTGAAACAAAAAGAGTTCAAAATAAATCGCTGTCTACAGAAAATACAAAGAAATGGTAAATAAAAAACATGGGATTGATACTCAGCATGACAGATTACATCTTACATAAAATCACTAAAAAAAAATACAAAATGTTAAGGACATCAGTCTGGAGAAACAAGATGCAAATTATAACAATTACAAGGTAAAGAGATTAAAAATAAACATCATTTTATAATTAAGGCCACTCGTATGAAGAGCAGAATAAAAAACAAAAAAGGAGAGAAATGTAAACTTGTAATTATTCCAACTCAAGTCCTGCTGTGCAACTCAGTTTGTAACAAAACCCCAAAAAACTCAAAATGTCAAAAAATGGATCAGAAATCAGATCAAATCTTTAAAAGGGAAATAAATATACAAAAATATAAATAAAATGGCCATGACATGCAGAAAACAGAGAAATAAAAATTACCCCAATAGAGGATGAAATGAAGCGATGAGTTAAATTCAAACATTTTTCATGTGAAAACGAGGATTAGCATCGTTTCTGCATGACAAGGCATTTTCCTGCTCAAACTGTTAGAAAACAAATTGTGATTTGTAGTTTTTCTTTGCTAAGTGAAGTGAAATATTTGACTTGTGTTCATTAAAAACAGGGATTTCTTTCCTTTTACATGAACACACATTCACAGCTTGCAGAGTGTAAGGCTTGAACCACTTGGCCACACTTTGGGAGGGGTGGGTTGGATTTATTGCACAAGAACACTCGGGGCGGGTGGGTTCTTATTCGGCCCTTTGACAGGTTCTGGATGGGTTCTGTCTCCTCAGTAGAGGCGGACGAGACTTAAAAAAATGAAGTTGAAGAACACTGGAAGCTGGTGAGGTTTTACACAGCAGCCAAGACAGGTCAGAGGTCAAAGCAGTGCCACTGCATCAAGCAGAGCCTCATCTTCCCTCCTCTGCTGATCGGGTCTCGGACTTGAGCCGGACGAACTCCTTGGCGACGTCGTCGTTGGAGCGCTGGGAGAGGATCCGCATGGCGGTCAGGCCCGTGTCGTCCATGGAGATGCGCTGCCCCAGGGGGCACCAGCAGGCGCAGTTGCCCCTCTCCATGATGTCCCTCAGCTGCACCACGGCCAGGCCCACCACCCGGTCGGCGCGGCCGAAGCAGTAGTCCTTGACGCAGGCTTGAACCTCGTAGCACTCGAACCGTCCTGAACACCCAGAACGCTGCAGAGCGAGAGCAGAACAGGAGTGGGAGCACATGGGCTAGGGCGCTAATTGCAGAGCTAATTCCTGATTTTGTGCTTTTTCTGAAACTTTAAAACATTCGTACACCTAGCTTTTGATGATCTAATTTTCCATTTTAAATCAAAACATTTTACTTTGATTTGAGGTCCACATCTGCAGTGGTAGATTACACTATTGCTATCTGCTAATGTGCTAATAGCTGAGCAAATTTGTTGTGCAAACACATTTTGATTCCCCTAAATCAGTTTTCAAGTTAAATTCTAAAGCACTAATGTACTTTTGCTGTTTTCTACACTTTCAGTTGAATAAAGTTTGACATCTGTAGCAGAAGGGACACTTCCATTAAGCTGCTGTGCTAATAGTAGAGCTAATTTTAGCTTTTTTTATAACTTTTAAAACTATTGCCACACAATTAATTTCTTAAAATAAATCCAGATTTTATTTGGAAAAGTTAAATTTGAGGAGTTCACTAAATTTTAGCAGAAAAACACTAAATGAACAATTAGCTCTGCTGCTAGCGCATTAGCTGACATTGTCCAGTAATTTCACAAGGACTTTGTTTTGTGTAACCAACAGTTTATGAAGTCAGAATTAAAAGAGCTTCAAATCCTAAATGTGTCACGACGTTTGGTTTTGAACTTACAAGTGAAAGGTCTCGTTGTATTTGGGAGACCAGCTGTTGTTCTTGGATTTGGTCTGAAATCGGCGCTTCTTGTCGCTGAGGTGCGGCCCGATCATCGTGACTTCCACGAAGGGTCTGAACATCCCAGACGTCTGCCACTTCAAATCACTGGCTGCAATCACTGCATCAATGACACAAACATTTAAACAGAAATGACACTAAAATGCTGCAGCTTTGATTTATTGGTTCAAAATGAGCCCAAACGGACCTTTGAGAGTAACTTTCCGCTCTCCGCTCTTGGGATGAGTGTACAGCTCAATCTGCAGGGAAACCTCTCCGATGGGTTTGTCCACACCTGAGCCTGGTTTAACACAAACAACATTTGGTCCAATGCAGGCAAAGAAAACCACGTTTTATAGAGTCATGCGACGGAAACGCAGGTTTCACAAAACAGAAAGAGAAAAACGATGAAGGGAAGTTGGGCTGATGATGATTTCATGAGACCTACCCCTGCTGGGCTGGATTTTCTCATTAGGGGTTAACCTAATACCTTCCCATTGTGCGCACAGAGGCAGCAGGAGATAAAAACAAGACAGCAACTTAAACAACCAAATCCAGGAGATAAAAGCAGCGAGGAATCTGAAACTCTCCCGTATTTAATCTCCTTTGAGGCGCTTTGGATCTACCCTGTGAATGCTGCGTGGTCACGAAGGTTTTGATGAGCGTGTCGGTGGTCTGGGTGTAGAGCGACAGAGCGTGGCGGAGCGACGAAAGCTCAGCGCTCTTCTCCAGGAAAGTCTTCTTCAAGCCGTTCCCGCCCGCATGAAAGTATTGCTGCGTAGGAAACAAAACGAGAGGAATCAGCGTTCTACAACCTGAATGATTAAACTTAAAGTGGAGTTAATCAGACTTTTAGTTAATCAACTAAAAGACTCTTAAAATGTGAATGAATTGTACTTTTCTGTTTGACCAGAGGTCAACGTTTCGCTCTCACCTTGATGGTATCCAGAGCCACATCCATGACGGCACACTGCCTGGGCGTCAGGCTTTTAGCGTCTCCTGCCATGTGATCCTAAACAACCCAAACCAAGACTTTGACTAGACCAATTCATAGGAGAAAGCAAACTCAAAGGCAACCTGATACCTTCAGTTTGGAAAGGTGTCCCAGTTCTTTAGCAGCAGAAAGGATCTGTGCTCCCTTCAGGAAAAACAGAAAAATGAATGATTCTTTTAGTTTTCAGAAGCCTTGTTTCAATTTTAAGTATCATATTAGTGAAGTTTGATGGAAATGGAAAAAAAGCATCGATACAACTCATGTTCAGACGTAAAGTGAGTTATTTATCTACTCTATATGTGATTGGATGATGTTCAGTTTGTTGACTAATAATTAAGCTGAATATGCCACAGTCATCATTTTAAAACATAATGGATAAAAATATTTTTTGTGTTTGGTCACGTCTGTCAAAATGTTTACATCTCATCATCTGACACAATTACGAGTTGATCCATTTCAAAATGGCAGCCATGTTTCCATCCAGCTGTGATTCAAATTTTGAGCAATTTTTATAATAATGTATAAAAGAAAATGTAAATTACACTGCAAAACCATAAACTCTTACCAAGTATTTTTGCTCTAGTTTCTAGTGCAAATTTGACGAATGTGAATTACAACATTTAACTTTTCTTTTGGGATCAATAAAGTATGTTTTGAATTTGAATTTGAAATATCTCAGCACATTTTAAATAAGACAAAAATAACTTAGTAGTAACTTATCACAAGAGAAGCTTGTTTTAAGTAGATAATTCCTTAATATTGATTAAAAAAAAGTAGTTGGCAGATTATTTAATTTAAGGAAAAATGATTGTTATAAGTGAAATAATCTGTCCTACACAAATAAGTTCATTACATTTATTTTGCACAAAATTGATATATAATAAGATGTTAGTCTGGTTATTATATATCTTAATATTGCAAAAATATCTTGATTTAGGTGAAATAATCAAATTTGATCAGCAATATTAAGAAATTATTAACTTAAAATAAGCTTCTACGATAGTTTCACTGACAACTAGATCAAAAACATTGGTAAGATTGTGTTTTGTTATGTAAATTCACACTTTTTGACACATTTCAAAACCATCTGGATGGTAACTGTCCAGTGACGGAGACGAGCGTCAGACTCACCAAGGTGTCGTTCCCTTGCGGCAGGACGATGTTCTTCTCCAGGCTGGTCATCACGATCCTCCACAGCTCCTTCAGAACGCGCTTCAGGACGGTTTTCTCACACACCGTGGCGAACAGCGTTAATCTGCAAAACAAGACGTTCACACACACGCCGACGGACGAGCCGTGTTGGGGGAAATCCCACTGAACCACTGCGCATCCAGGAAGTCCATGAGCGGCCGCAGCATGTTGTCCGAGTCGCCCTCCACCTGGTTCTTGGTGTTTTCGTTGAGCGGTCCTTTGATCTGGTACAGCAGCGACGCCATCTGCCGCATGCAGTCGGTGATGCGGCTCTGGAAGCTGCAGGAGAAGAAAAGCCAGTGATGCACTGGGACAAGTGGGGGAAACGTGGGGGTGTGAGGGCGGCGTACCTGTTCCCAAACGTGCTGCTGAGGTCGTCCAGAACGTTGTTGAGCCGAACCTGCAGGTCGTTGAGCTGGTCCTGGCCTCCGTGTCCATCTGGAGGAGAGAACCTTCAAGTTCAAAAGGCTGACAAAGGTTTTAGAGAAAGAAAAAGGGAAATAAAACTGGGAAGTTTTGGGATTTTACTGCGACTCAGAACCTGGAAGCTAAATTACTTCTAAAGCTGAATTATTACAAAACACCTGAGAGTCTACGGTTGCATTCGAGTCCGTTAAACACCTTTTGGTGTAGTTTGCATTTCTACTCATAATAACATGCATGTTACAGTTCACCTCCTGTAACACGCATGAACTCACCTCATAATCCTCACATGCATTTTCTCTCTATGTGGCAGAAAGTTGGGAGGTAAAACAAGACATTTGGATGAAATGCCCCATTTTGACACTCATCAAGTGGAAAAATTGCATATTAAGAATCTAATTTGGGATGTTCTGCTTGTGCCTACCTTCTCAAACGGTTCGTCCATCTTTGAGTCAGAAAATTGTTAGAGATATAAAAAAAAACACAAACAGTGTCAAACTGTCCTGAAGAGGTGGAGGAGCTGTATAATCCAAATGATTTCTGGACTTTTTGGTGAATATTAAGGTGATTTAATCCCAGATAACATGTTTAACCCACCTCATCCTTCTCAGTCTATCACACATGGTTTAGAAAAGGAACAAAATAAAGTGTTAAAATGAAAAATACAGTTGAAGGTGATGTGAAAGTGGCGCTTTTATGGGAAATAAGGGAAAATGCTGCTAATCTAAAGAGGAAATCCTCACAGATGAGAATCAAACCAGACAACAAAACTCCACCATGTTGGATGTTTTCGTTTCAGTTTGGGGAAAATCTTTGGAAATGACTTTGGATTTGGAGAATGAAGGATGTTAAAAACCACTTTCAACTGCAACAAACCTCTGCCTCCATTTCCTCCCCTTCCTCTTTAACTTCCTCCTCTTCCTCACTTCCTTCAAACTAGGAGTTGCAGTAAAGAGGCAACAAAGGTTTTGTCTTGTTGCTTCATTCAGATAATTGTGCAGTGTTTTTTTTTAAACTTATTTTTAAGACATATATGCAGTCATGTTTTACATGTTTGCATATGCAGTGGACTTGCCTGCCATGCTAGCGCGCTGTTCTTCAGCTAGAAAAGCAGAGAAAAGGTAGAGAATGTCTTTCTCCAGCCACAATTACAAGAACTGACTTTATATTGAGTTAAAACATCAATATTATTAGAAAAACACAAAATATTACCATTTATTTTTGGTCTAGTTTATTGTTCAAGTACATTTGGACACTTAAAATAAGACAAAACTAATTTACAAGTAACTTTTTAGAAAGATATATGAGCTTGGAGGGAGTTTGAGATGCATTAAGTCTTAGAATATTCTTCTTAAAAAGGAAAACCTGCAGATTTGTCTGCACAAAAACTTTTGAATTTCATATTAAAATGTTAATTTAACAGAGTGATTCGTATTTTCCCAGGCAGCCTTAGTTTTCGTTTATATGATTTCAACATGGTGCATTTCCTAACAATCAATAACAAATCAAATTGATATGATGTCAAAACTGGAATCTATCACTAATTTGAACACTTGACCCTCAACATCAATGTTGGAGAAACATTATCGTCATTGATATTGTAATAACAGCAATAGTGTTACAACAACACTATTAAATAATAGTGTTGTTGTAATTTCAAGGCTGCTGTTTCTCTGTCAGATTCCCTCAGGTCTCCACAGCAGAGAGATGGATCACGGCGCTCTTCCTCCACCTCCTCGCCGCGCCCCATCCTCATCCTCCACCACCTCCACTGAGTTCTGATGGGTCGGTTCAGATCCTCTCTGGAGATCAGACACCAGAACAGAGGCGGATCAGAACCAAAGCCAGCAGCTCTGCTGAAGCTCAGGAGAACTCTGAGTCCAGATGTGGACCCTGGTCTCCTCCAGAACCTCCTCTGTTCTGCTGTGGAGGAACTGTGTGGCTCCAGTTCTGCAGCAGGACCTTCTCAGCTGCAGCAGAAGAAGAAAGGACTTCCTGTGTTCAGGTTGGATAGAAACCTGGATATTTTCTAGCTTGTGGTTCTGCTTCCAGCGTAGATGTTCTCCAGGGTTCTGATCTGGATCTAGTGGACTGTAGAGCTCATCAGGTTTCCTCTCATCCACTTTGAGATCTTCAGCCTCCTTTAGATTCAACCTGAAGCTTCTTCTGACAGATTAGCTGCAGCTGATATTTAGCATGATGTTTATTATTCTAGCCTCAGTTTTCTGTTCTTCATGTGACTCCACTGAATCCAACTCTGATGTCGTTCACTTCACAAGTGATGAAGATCCATTTTTCTTTCACTTCCTGCTGATTTCTTTCCAAAGCTCCATTTTTTCCAGGAGGATCTTCAATGTTCTCTTTAGATGATGAAGGAACTCAGACTGACTCCACCCGGCTGGTGCTCCAGGTGAGCAGAAACAAACAAACCCTGAAGTCATCCAGCTTTAGATTTGGACCAACTGAACATCAAGCTTCAGTAACGTCTCAGTTAAAGTTTGTTTCCAGATCTGAGATCAGAAAGTTCTGGAACAAACTGGTTGCTCTCCAGTTTGATGATGTTTCCAACCTGAATGTTCATCCATTTTTCTTCTCTCAGCCTGGAAAGAAAATCCTCTAAATTATCTGGCTTGATAAAAAACTGTTTTATTAGTAAAATCTTGGAATCTTGACACACTCTTTGTGCATCAGGACTTTCACCTTGCAGTTATTCACCTGAAATGAAGAGGAATTGTTTATTGTTGGTCTAAGAATAAAATGTTTTTGTAAGGATCATGTAATCACATCCTGAAAAATCCTTCAGAGTTTATCTTTGCTCTAAAGTTATAAAAACCCAAAACCTCTTCCTTTTTAACAGAGATCAATAACCAAACACTCTGATCTTTGCTTAATCTGCCAGTTTGACAAATATAAATGAACATTGCTTCAAAATGTGTGTATTTTATTACTTCTGAGTGGGAAAGTGCTTCTGAAATGGAGCAGGAAATACATTTCATAACAGCTGATTTGCATGTGATCAAGACAAGAAGGCAGCGGTCAACACACACACACCCAGTGGTGTGTTCACACACACTCTGCAGAACTTTGTGTTCATCAGGAGGTCGATTGTTTCAGGTTTGAGCTAAAACAGAAGCAGCAGCACTTCCTCTACAGGAGAAAACACACGAGGTCATGAGGTCAAGCTTTGTGACAGTAAATAAAACACATGAATAATCTCTTGGTTTGCTAAATTATAATAAAACATGATATTTATGTTATGAACAATTAAATAATTTTAGCTTGGATTGGCTCTGAACACATCATAAATCACTGATTCATTATAAAAACTTTGACTAGACTAAGAATGGACTATTATGTAATTATAAATGATGAAGTTCATTAGTTCATTTAAATTCAGCATTTTACTGTAAATATAATTAAAGTGTAGATAAAGGGATAAAGATTAGCATGCTAACCCCTCAGGTTTCCCATCAGCCACTTGGGTTTCAGGATGACCAACATTTTTAAACATGGCTGCTAATTTTGAGCCTTTTAAACCAGATATGGACATTAAATGTTCCCGTTTTCATGACATGGATGAACTTTAGGTTCCTTCATGTGTTTTCAACTTTGGTCATTCTATTTATGCAACTTTAAAATAATATGTAGCAAAATCAGAAACTCATGTTTAGAGATTTAATGTTAGATTCTGGCAATTCTTGTTAAGTTTAGTGTTAGCTTCTGCTAACTTTTAAAGTATTTGGTGGTTTAGCAATATCACAAACTAATTTTTTTTTATCTAATTAGAAATTTAGCATAAACTGCTAAGCCTCCACTTATTTTTTTTTACCTTACACAAATGTTTTAATGTGTTTTTTGGCTTAGCGATAATGTGCTAATATTTTAGTGGTTTAGCAGTGGCCTTTGTTAATGCTTTATGTGTCCAACAGTTTGGCATTAGCTCAGCTAAGTTCTCCAGTTAGCAGTTAGTGAACCTAACATTTTGTTTAGCTGTTACTAAACTTGGTAATTCCTACTGCCAATTTTATTACAAACATATATTCTAGATTACAATCACAATAGCCACTTGACAAATGTACACCAGAAAAAGAAAACTCAAGAAAATATATATGATTTCTACGTTTCAGGTTCTGTAGGCAGTGACTTTAAACCAAACATATTCACCCAATTAGCAATTTTAGTGGGCAAACTTAATTTTCCATGAATGCTATTCAGTCCTCTATTTATTTCTTTGGTAAGATTTTCCCACTTTATTATTCAAAATCTTGTCATGAGACCTTCATCAACTGGTTTCAAAATGGGAATATTTTACTGTAATTTATGAGAGTGAAAGTTGAGATTTTAAAAATCTCTCGACATTTAAACAGGAACAGAAAAGAATGAAAAGCAAATGAATCAAATACAGAAGAAAATATTTTTTTGTTATTCACTATATACAAAGTTTAACTGCATACATAAGTAGAAATTAACATTTGAACAAAACACATAAACAAAAAATATCCAGTGATTGAGAAAAACTGTATTAAATTTAAAGAATCTTTGACTGGAAACAGAAAAACAACATATGGATCCTGGATAATCCTAGCTTCCATCTTTAAAGGACTGGAAGAAGCCATTTCTAAGGAATCATAGAATTTCACCAAGAAAGAGTTTGGATCCATTAAAACACACATAGAAACTGAACTAAATGTTCAACAGTGAGAGAGTTACTCTGATAGGAGGAAAATCTTTACACTCTTGAGATTCAAATCAGCATAGAAACAACAAGGAACCAGACCGCCAGACCCCAAATCCAGGAATCAGAGGTTCAGTGAATGTGGTGTTGAAGGTGTGGAGGAGGATCAGTGAGTCAGAGGAGACTCTGTAGAAGGACAGAATGCCAGCAGGACAGTCCACATACACTGCTACTCTGTTAGAGTCAGAGGAGGAGGAGAGACGAGTTTCTATGTTATTGTGACAGACAGAGAAACCAACATAATCAGAGCAGATCAGACTCCAGGAATGATCATTCCTTCCAAACCAAGAGTCTCTTCTGTCTCCTTTCCTCTTGATTCTTCTGTAACTCACTGATATATAAACTCTTCCTGTCCACTCGACCTCCCAGTAACAGCGACCAGTCAGACCAGTTCTACACAGCAGCTGATACCAGTAATCAAATCTGTCTGGATGATCAGGATATGACTGAAGCTCCTCCATCCATGTCACCTTCCTGTTGTCTTCAGATATTTGGATCTCTCTGTTCACTGTGTTTGTGTCGATGGTGAGTTGACAGGAATCTGA